TCAATGCCGTAGTTGTCGATTTCAAAAGTGCTTGGAGGCAGGAATGAAGCCAGAAGGTATGACCTAGCAAATTCATTTCCTCTCAAAAGTTGATGGTTGCTGCGCCAAAAAACATAGTTCTGGTGTTAGGCTGATAGCTGTGTAAGAATTCGAGCAGCTGTAGTAACCTTGGGTCTATCAAAATTTAGCTTTACTGCGATGATTCGGGTGTACTATGGCTCTTGAACGCATAATTTTACATCATCGGGTGGATATGTGGTAGTGATGCTGGAGGCTAAGTCGTAGATCGACCCCCTCAGGTCAAGGAAGCCTTTTATTCCTTCGAGGAATTAGACTAATGACTTATCCAGGAAGAGAAGCATTCCGTCCCGTCAAACGATTTGCCATTGCTAGCTGTTTGTAAGCCAAGTCGTGCTCAAATGCCATTGATTCTGAATTGTTATTAGATGCGTGGCGCATTCCAGAAATTTACTAATATTTGCCTATTTTAGCTTGCCGACCGAACCGAGATTACACCGGTAGGCAGAAGAAGAAAGCACTGGCAATGCCAAAGGAATCGGTATGCATTCTTGTTAAGCTTTATCGATAAAGTAGCTGGAAGGGTGAATCAATGTGCATTCAATGAAGGGGTTTTTTAAGGTCTCATGCTGTCCCACAACGAAGAGTAAGGGCGATTGGATGAAGAAGCTCACAGTTGAAATGAGAACGTTGCTTATGAATTTGCTGAATATTGAAGCCAAAGTCATGAAGGTGGGATAAATGTCTTGTAGTTATTGAGATTTTGATTCGAGATGCCATACAAATATTGAGGAAACATTTCATTATCACGCGACACGATTAAATTATTAAAAAGGCAGGTAGAGGGGAAAACCGGACAAACGAAGAAAAGTTATGAACCGAGAGGAATGAAGAAGGAAATATGGACCCGTTAAATGAACTGCAACGACAAAGCGACAAATGGCGCGACAATTGGCGAGGGATAGAGTAGGACAGAGAACACAGTAGACGAGAAGACGTAGACGTTCGACTGGGCAGCATTCTTCTTTGTGATGTCCACCATGTGAACCACATTACGAAGAAAGATGCTTCGTATTGGTCCTGGTCTTTTTTACTTATTTTCAATGCTTCTTTTTATTCAGTTTATGCAATTGCGCAGTTTTTTATCATCACCACCCTGCAGTACTCCATTCAGTTTCGACCAGGGTCAAGCGAGGCGTCGAGGAAAATTCGGAAATACGACCCCCCCCTCCCTCCGCCGAGGCCGAAGTCCATGAAACAACCCTCTTCAAAAGCCGAACTATGAAAAAGCTTGTTTAATTCTCCCCCAAAACTGCTCATAAAAAAGCCCTGCTACCCCACCGCCCACAAAAAAATTCGTTTAAGAAGTACAAAAGTGAAAAAGTCAAAGAATAATCATTATTGATGAGTCCTACCAAACGAGCAAACGAGAAACAGACCAGAAAACGACAAACTAGCCACTAAAAATGGCATACTATGACAACATTTTATTTCCTTCACACAAGACTTACCAAATTCTAGTACTACACAGATTGTGGTTCTCAATTTGCACGTAGCCCTTCAGTTGAAAGAAGCTTTTTAACCGCCTTCGCCAGCTGTGTGTTGACTGGACTTTGGCGTTGACCGTGGAGCAGCTTATTTACTATTGAAATTTGAACAAATATTCAAATGATTATAACTTTCTTCAAATATGACGAATTTTCAATCTGAAAGCAGATTTGGAAGTTTTGTGAAGAGCTTTTCTAATCAGTATGAAATTACAAAAAGTTATAAGAAATAACAAATTTAGGCCAATTAACGAGGAAAATTCGAGATGAGCACGAGTTTTTACACTTTCCGAAGCAATAACTTGCTTCATTTTCGTCAAATTCGAAAAGTTGATATGGCATACAAAACTAGAAGATTTTCTCTATCAAACGGTTGCTAAAGCAGCTTCATACGTCCAGTATTCAAAAAATGGCCACGTTGAGGATTTTTGCAAAATTAACGAGGAAAATTCGTGATGAGTGCGAGTTTTTTACTTTCTAAAGCCATAACTCCGTTCAAACTCATCCAATCCGAAAAGTTAATACGCCATCATAAACTAGAAGATTTGCTCTATCAAATGCTTACTAGAACTGCTCCAAACGTCCAGTATTAAAAAAACGGCTACGTTGAGGATTTTCGCACGAGTACCGCCGAAAGGTACTTTTTCGCTACATTGGCACTATTTCAACGGCTGTATATCCTTTTAAGGGCGATTATGTACTAAAGTAAGAGCAGATTTGGAATCATTGCTTTTCTCTCTTCTAAGAAAAGTGATTGATTAGGAAAGCGAGAGGTGCGGGTTCTAGTCCCGCCTGGGGCGAAAGTTTTGTTCACAACCCAGCATTCTTGTGAAACATTCGCAACGCGAACTGCGGCGTTAAAACAGCAGTTAACAAACAAAACAAGTCAAAATTCATTGCTAAAGCTTTCAGCCTCGCGGTCATTGCCGATATCGGCTAACCGGCTCAACACGTTAGACGTGTGAGTGCTGAAAGCTATGGTACGTATACCATGAAAAGCTGAGTTGGAATGAAATGGTGCCCCGGTAGCGTAACTGGTAGCGCACTTGCCCGGAAAGCGAGAGGTGCGGGTTCTAGTCCCGCCTGGGGCGAAAGTTTTGTTCACAACCCAGCATTCTTGTGAAACATTCGCAACGCGAACTGCGGCGTTAAAACAGCAGTTAACAAACAAAACAAGTCAAAATGATGATTAGCGTTTCTCAACTTTAAAGGTTACATGTTTATAAATTTAACCCTGAAGAGTCCGTTAACGCAATGTTGAATGGTGTACACCTCCCTGTAAATGCGCACGGACACTTTCAGAATTCTCTCGATTGTTCCTGAATTGAGGTTGTTTGTCCAAGGAGCCGTAGTTGAAGCGCGCGCAACAACTAGACCCTTTCTCGGATGCGCCGTGTACCTCACATCCCTTCAGATTCGGGGTCTTACTTGAAAGATGAAATATCTCTTGGAAAGCGTGCGAAATTCAGATTCTTTAACTTGTGTGGTGATAAAACACTGAAGTAACTAAGAATTACCGGACGCCTCAGAATCACGAAAATTTTGTGTGGGTGAAATATCATTTTCATTGGAAATCCTCTGGCCTGGCATCGACTCATCCTTGATATTTGTCTTCCGACGGTGATGATCCCACTGCATCAAAATGGCTCGATCTCTTCCACCCAGCGGGCCAATACGACCCCCCCCCCTGCGACGTGTCGAGGATTCCTCAACGCACGCTTGACCCTGTTCGTAATGTACAATTTGTATTACTGGATAATCCTACCTTGTCATCGACACTCAAACCTCCCATTAAGTTAGCCAGATGTTCGACCCAATCAATCGCAGCAATGAGACGACGGTAGGCCACCGAGGATAATTCGTCATTCTTCGCCAGCCGGAAAGGCTCGTATCGCATCTGCAATTGAAGAACAATCAGTAGAACGATGAAAAATCTCCAAAATAAAAAAATGATCGCAGTCCAACGGTGCTTTGTAACAGACTTGGAAGTCTCGAGAATGGAATATTATGGTGGTGTTCTAACAAGGGGAATGCTAGGGTGTGGTAGTTCGTGCAGCTTACACGCCACTGCGGGCGGTGTAGTTCAGGGACAAATTTCACGCGCCACCCGCTACCCTACCTACAGCGACAAATGTTCTAGTGCCATATGTGCGTGATTGATGGATTCTCATCATGAAAACGGAAATTGAAGGCCGCAAATTTTTAGCCAAATTCACTCTGGGAGATAAATTCAGGTGAGAACGGAACCCAGTGTACGAAGCTGGATTGCCAGAAGGTGAACTATCAAAAGTTATGCTATCCTTACCTTGAAAACGTTTAATAACTGACTCGCAAGAGGTGACGCTCTGTTCAGGAACCCCTGGTTTTCGATCAATTTTGAAACATTCCTGACCTCAGATCGTTTACCTTTCAGCTTGCTTGGATCGTCGATTATTTCTCGTAAGTGTTCACTCGGAGTGGGTACAAATGTGAAGCGTCTATATTCGTGTCCCCCTGGAAAACAAGAAAATTAAAATAATGCGATGCTAGCTGACCGGATAGACCTCCCTTCTTTTATGTTGAATTCAGCAAGGTAACTTGTTGCAATTGAAACAATCAGAGATCATGGTAAAGGGGAAAAGAATCAAAGGTTCACTATTATGAAGTACTTTTCTTATTGTCGTCGAGATATGGCGATCGCGGATTCAACTCAAAATCTCAGAGGTATACTTCATGACGAAGCCAGGTGGATAGATTTTTCCCCTCCGAGGTAGTAGGAAATCTGATTAGAGGAGTGGCATCATGGGCGCTAATGCCTTCATTTGACCGCTGCGACCGTTGCCATCCTGTCAGTTGACAGTGTGGTGTTTGCGCCCCTCACGCACGTCGTACGTCGTGCTTTCTCTCGTTTTCCCTCTGCTCGAGGGAAAACTGTGTCTCTCCGTTACTCCACGACCAACCTCACAAGCAAAATTACATTGTTTTCCATAGCGCTTTTTCCTTTTTCGACCCACTATCGTTCCTCTCGCATTTCCTTTTTTCTTGCCCCATTTTTAAGCAAAATATTACACCAGTTGGGTCCAGGCCCGTGCCTTGAGATCGCCCGAGCCAGCGTTGGCGTTGGCACATTGCATGTGGGCTTGAAATTAGCCAACCATTCGTTTCAGGCACAATCGAGGAAAA